CTAATAAATTAGGTAAAATGGGCAAGTTCCTAAAAAATATACAAACTACTGAGACCAATTCTAGAGGAAAGTGAAAAAAAAAATCAGCACAGATCTATAATAAGTAAAGAGTTGAATTAGTAATGGAAACATTTCCCACAAAGAAAACTAAGAACAGATGGCTTTACTGGCACATTCCACTAAACATTTAAAGAATTAACACCAGTCTTTCATAAACTATGCAAAACTAAGAGGAAGAAACACAACCTAACTCATTCTAAGAAATACTGATACCAAAATTAGACATTACAAGATGACTACATATCAATGTATTTTATGAATATGAATATAAAAATATTCAACAAAAACAAGAAATCAAATTAACAAATCTTCAACAAAATTAACAAATAAAATCCAATATCATACAAAAATATTATATACTAAGACCAAGTGGGATGTAAGAGTGGTTCAAAATATGAAAATAATCAATGAAATATTTTAATAAAGAAAAATCACATGATCAACTCAATGGAAACAAAGAAAAAATTTTTGAGAAATCCAATACTCCTTCTTTTCTGCTTTTTAAATTTTATTTAATTTTTAAAATTAAAAAAAGTTTTCTATGTGTATGTATGTATTGCCTGCATGTAGGTAAGTGCACCCGTGTTGTACAATGCCTGCAGAGGTCAGAAGAGGCTGTTGGATCCCCTGGAACTGGAGTTAAGGACGGTTCGTAGGAGCCATGTGGATGCTGGGAATCAAACCCAGGTCCTCTGCAAGAGCAGTCCAGTGCTCCTACCTACTGAGCCATCTCTCCAGCCCCCTTTTCTGCTTTTTGAGACAGAGTCTTGCTATGCATCCCAGACTGGTCTGAAACTCAACATCCTCCTGACTTAGCCATATTCTTTCTCATAAGAAAAAAATTCACATATTAGGAATCTAAAAGTTCTTCAACCTGATAATCTGCACAAAACCTTCCACAGTTAACATTATACTTTATGACAAAAGACGGGCTCTCTCTAGAACACATAGTAAGACAAGTATACTGATTTTCAATGCTTCTATTAATCCAAGCATGCTGGGGTACACTGTTGTCCCAGCTACTCAACAGGCTGATGTGGTGAGATGATCACTTAACCCTGAGCGAATGAGATGGCCTTGGGCAACATAATGAGATGCTATCTCAAAAAATAAAATAATATAAACAATTCAGTTTAACATTGTAAATGAAGGTTACAGACAGACCACTTAGACAAGAAAAAAGAACACCATCCAGATTGGAGTGGAGGAAAATTGTCACTATTCATATTTCATAATTTCACATTTTGAAATTTGAAAGGAACCCACAAAGCACCTCCTAGAACTAATATAAGTGATCCAAGATACATGTATACAAAATGAAATGTATTTCAACATACTAGTAAGAAATAATGAAAAGAATCCAAATATTCATTTAAGATAAGAGTTAAACACTTTGAAATAAAATTAACAAAGGAAGTGTAAGACTCAGACATTGAGAATTACCAAATATAGTGAGAAATGGTAGTGCACGTGTTTAATCTCAGCACTTGAGGTAGATGCAGGCCTGCAATCTCTGTAAAATTGAGGCCAACCTGGTCTACATAGCAAGTGCCAGGCCAGCTGGGGATTCAGGGTGACACTCTCTCCCCACTCCAAAAACCAACAACAACAAAAACCCCACCAAACTATCAGATGTTATTTCAAAAAAGAAGATTTAAATAAAGAGAAAGATATCCTGTGTTCGTAGCATGGAAGATGTAATGTTATTAATATGCAATCTTCCCCAAGTTGATTTGAAGATTGTAATCGATATCAAAATCCTAGCTTTTTTCTTGTTTCTGTGAAAGAAATTGGCAAGCTGATCCTAAATTTCATATGGAAATGCAAAGGATCTAAAGTGTCAGCAATCTTTGAAAAGCAGAACCAAGTTAAAGTGTTCACACTTCCCAACTTCAGAGGTTGGTACACAGATTCAGTAATCAATATCACATGGCACTGGCATAAAAATAGAAATACAAATGAATGACTGGTACTGAATTGAGATTACAGAAATAAGTCCTAACACACATGGTAAATTATTTTCCACAAAGATGCCAAGGCACCACTTTACAGTCACTGGAATGACTGTGGGAAAAAAAGGGCAAGAAGTATTGTTAGTGGTGGGGAGAAGTTGCAGTCCTCACACACTGCTAGTGGAAACATGAAATGGCAAAGCCTCTTTGGAAAATAAGTTTGACAGAATCCTAAACACTGTGTGGTTCATGAACACATAGCAGCTATAGTTACCTGCACAAGACTTCCACAAGATCAGGCCAGTCAACATTCCAACATGGATGGGAGAGAGGCTCATGAGGCTTCAACTCTAATTGAGAAGCTGTTAGCAACTGATGGCTGCTTGGGGAGGGGGAGTCATTTTTTGGGGGGGGGGGTGGCTGCTGACATATTTCTTATGCCTAGGTAGATGTACCCATACCCATGCGCATGCAGGCAGCACTAACCAGACTCAATGGGTTATATGAAAAAAGAAAAGGACAGTCAAGTGGAAGGGGGCATGCTTGAGGGACTTGTGGGGAGAGGGATGGGGGATTTGGATTAGATATTACTAAGGTATACTGTATAAATACATGAAACTGTCAAAGAATAAATAAAAATATTCTAAAACAACTGTGCATGAATATTCATGGATGCAGTTTTTTGCAGTCAAAACATAGACATAATTGGTAATGTCCATTAACAGTTCAACAGATAAATATAGTGTATTCATAGAATATTGGTCAAAATAAGAAATGAAGTATAGATACATGCTACACCATGGATAAATCTTGAAAACAATATGCTAAGTAAAAGAAAGTCGAAATGAAAGACTGCATATTCTATTATTCCACTTACATAAAATGTTCACAATGGGCATAGCTATGATACAGAAGTAGATTACTGCTTGCCTGGTTGGAGATAAGGACAAATGGGAGTAGCTGCTTATGACTATGGAGCTTCCTTTTCGGGTGATGAAAATATTATAAAATTAGATAGTGGTAACTTTAGTATGATTTTGTGACTATACTAAAACACTAAAAGATGAAGTTCGTGATATCTGATATATTTGAATATAGAAAGATAAAGAAAAGGAAGGAAACATACATAGATACACAAATGGATGGATGGATTGACGGGTGGACTGATAGAGGGAGCCAGGCATAACATGTCTGTATGGATGGCTCTGGAAACATGGGCTTCATAAAAATAAAAAGCAGCAAAGCTTGTCTACCATATTAAAGTTAAACTGTTTTCCAGGTTTCACACACACAACCCTATTTCCTCCCTGATTCTATTATGAGCTGAGCCAGTCTGATCTGCACAGCAGATCCATTATCACTCATATTGTCACTCACAATAACTCCCTTACTTGATCTCCATGACCCTAAATTTGCTCTCGTATTTTTGAAGTCACAAGCAAGTGCTGCCTCCTTTAAAACTATGCCTAAACCACTGCATATATATAATATCACAGGCTCTGTCAGTGTTTTTTTTTTTTTTTTGAGAAAAGGTGTGCTACGTATCTTTTTTGAACCTTTCAGACATTCCAAAGTATGCGGAACACACTCGCCATATAATGGTTCATCTGTTTAGGTTGCTTAAGCTTTTTTTAAATCCGCTTTTGTTAAGGTTCATTAAACTTATCTGGTGTGTAATTATTATGGGTGATCAACCTATTAGAAATCAATGTATGTCAGAAGATGTAACCTATCTACTGAAATTGAATCTCTCTTTCTACAGTAGATGTGCATATGTCTGTTCACTCAACACACTTAGCTGGACCCATGCAATGAAGATCTTCTAATAGAATGTAGGTGAAGTAACGTGTATTCCTTTCCAGTTCTAGTCTATAAATGTCTCAAAATTGTTTTCACCCCATCTCTACCACTTCCTATGTATGGTCAAGGCAGTGAAAGAGCATCTTGGAAGCACTGTTCTGAAGATGACCGAGTCTACTTTCAACCCACAGATTAAGTCCCTTAATAAACTCATGGAAGAGAAGATTTTTTTGAAATAAATACTTTCTTATGTGTATTCCCTTAAAAATAATATTCTATAATATTTCAGTTATTACTTATTTGGGTGTGTTAGCAGTCAACTACCCAATTAACAACAGGGCATTCCAAAGGACTTTTCCCAAGGATTGTTCTAATCCCTACAAAATAAAATTCAAACCCTTAACCAATCACAAACTACCTAATGCATCCTCCTACTTCTCTGCTTTATCCACCCAGCACTGCATTAAATACACATGCTTTGCTTGCCTCTGTCTGTATTGGGTTGCACAAATCCATTCACCTAGGAAGTTCTTTGATTCTATTTCAATACATTGAACATTAACCAATTTCCATGAAGCCTTCTCTGATCTTCCCAGAAGAAAGTAATCGATTACAAATCCTGACTAGACTTCATATTCACCTTATAGTTTGTCTTGTTTATTTTTCAGCTTCCCAATGAATAGATATTTAATATGTATTAATATTTGTTTATATATATATCATATGTGTGTGGTGTATGCATGTACACACATGTATACAAGGGTGTGCTTGTGCATGCAAGTGAATTTTGAGGCCAGAAGTTGATGTCATAGGTCTTCCTCAACTGTTATGATACCTTATTTTTCTAGACATGATCTCTCACTGAACCTGAAGCTTGCTGCTTTGGCTAGACTGTCTGGCTAGAAGACCCCTGAGTTCTTCTTGTCATCACCTCCCCCATCTCCCCAGCACTGCAGTTCCAGATGCAAACTGCCATACCTGGACTTATTTTACACCAGGGCTGGAGATTCACGCTTAGGTCCTCATGCTTCCTTTGTAAGTATTTTACCCTCCTAAGATATCTCCTGAGCCTTGATATAAACACACACACACACACACACACACACACACACACACACACACACACACACACCATATATATGGTCTGTCTCCCTGTAGCCCCAGCTGACCTGGAACTTACTATGCTGACCAGACTGGCCTGGGTCTCACAGAGATTTGCCTACCTCAGCCTCCCAAGTGCTGGGATTAAAGGCATGCACCACCATGCCTGGCTGATCTATATATTTTTAATGACAAGAGCCTTACTTGATAAAACTTTAGTGTTAAGTATGTGACAGAGAGTCTTTTACTAAGCAAGAACGCAATAAAGGTTTGTTAAGGGAAAAAGAAAGATAAGCTAGTGAAATATCAATTCTAATTGTTCCCGTCATCATCCTACTTACTTTAATAATACCCACTATCAATCTCAGCCTCACCTCTGCTCTCATAAAAGTCCCAAATTATTAGAGCTGAATTTGATATTATTCTTTGAAACACATGCATATTTAGGATCACAGTGAAGTTATACCTGGCAGTATCCTATTTTGGGATTCCTATATGCATAAGCAGTGAGTACCCGCCTCAGAGCAGATATACCAGTATCACTCTGAAATGCTGGGTGCTCAGGCAGAGAGCGGCGCAAATCACGTTCAATTTCTTCAGTAGCCAAGTTGCAGGTCCCTAAGGATTGTTCAACCACTTCAGCATAATAGCCAGGATTAGTAGCCATGTCATTAACAGCACCTGTAAAGACAACTGCATTAACATACACAAAGAATAGAATAAATTTAAAATTTCCATATAGTGGTATATTTGCATATACATGAAGACGTGGATTCTATTCCTGTAAAGTTCAGTTTTTGCTCAAGTGATACTGGAACACAAAAAAGAAAATGAAGGAAAAGGAAAGCACTACACTAGAATCCACAACTTCACCTTAATATTATTCATCAGAGCAGCATTTTCATGAGATTTCTTTTCATTCCATGATACAGATAAATAACCTCTGACCCCCAATTACACATACCTTGTCTAATAAATTAATCTTGTGAGATACTATATGTATAGATATTTAGGGACATACACATAACCATACCTTTTTTTCTTTGACTATTTTGAACTCATATACTAGCCATTTTTGTGCTTGGAGCATAACTCCCAGAAGGGGCATATTTAATGTCTATTAAATGAATAAAATAAAGGCGTGGGGAGATAGTTCAGCAGTTAAGAGCACTGGCTGCTCTTGCAGAGGACGTGGGTTCAATTCCCAGCACCCACATGGCGGCTACGAACTGTCCTTAACTCCAGTTCCAGGGGAATCCAATGCCCTCTTCTGACCTGCGTGGCATTGCACAACATGAGTGCACTTACATGCATGTAGGCAATACACTCATATATGTAAAAAATAAAAATAAATATATAAATGAATACAATGAATGAATAAATAAATATAATACCTGAGAAAAGCATCCAGAGCTCTCCTCTTAAAGTCTCTGGAATCCCTCTTACAACCAGATCTCGAGTCTTTTTGGTCCTAAACATGCTAACACCACGTCCACATTCTGAAAATAAGATGTTCCATGACTGTTCCTTCATCTTTTCTTTCAACTGTAACAGAATAGTCAAGAGAACTAAACAGTGAGAAATTAGCTTCTTTAAAACAACTTGTCCATTCTGTTCACCATCTAACAATACATGGAGATCAAAAACTTAGAAAATTAAAATTAGCACTCACACAGTAAAACACTGAACCCTTGATATAAAAAAAAAACTTTTAAACTCATGAAACCCTAACCATTTCAATTTACTACTTTAAGTATTAGTTAATCTCATAAAAATCACAAAAGTATAACACTTAGGAAGTAAAGCTTTGAGCCATCATTCTTCCCAAATTAACTCCATTTTAGCACAGATTATTAGAAATCCATATAAACAAAACGCAACATATAACATTTCTCTTTCATGTTCATTCTTGACTTGTAGTCCTTGTGTGCTCTGGAACCAAACAAGGCACACTGTAGAACTTGCTGAACACCTTTTCAAACCACAAAAGGAAAGCTTTCTGTTCAGATTACCATTTAGTATGCTCTACAATTTTTTATCAACAGTTTCAATCCATAGATTTAATTATTTTGATTCATTACCATTTTAGAATCAAGATTTTCCAAATTTTGAGGATGAAAAACTGTCATTAAGGCTTCAGTGTTCACAGTTTTACTGGATTCTTTCGGGCATGTCAGAGATTGCTCCTCAACATTACCAGATAGGCCTGTAGAGTCAGAACTAAGAGCAACCTGAAAAAGAAAGAATGTGCTCATCCCAAATGCATGCTCGCAAGTAAGGAAAAACATTTTTCTGTCATTTACAAACCATAATTTATGTACATGTTAGATAATAAGGAAATGTCATAGAGACAGTATTTCTCTGTCAGCAGAATGACCTCTAGAACAGTAAGTAGAATCTCAGTGAACTTACTCCCTAACCAAAGAAACAAACTACTACCAAACACTTAAACTACTTCAGAATCCAACAGCAGAAGTTAATCAACAGCAAAGAGTGAATTGAAAATCATTTATTCAAGGAAAGCTAATGAGGGCTGGGGATATATCTCAGTGGAAGAGTTACTAACATAATTAAGATCCTGGGCTCTATCCCCAGCACACACACAAAGGGAGGAACAGAGAAGGAGGGATGTAGGAAGGACGGGAGACTGGGAGGGGGACCTTACTTAATAGGAACACAGAGTCTGAGAGACTACCTTGAGGCTATTCCCATCTTTCCTCCCTCCTACATTCAGAAGTGCAGTAGCTAATGAAAGGCAAGCAGGAAGGCAACCAGTGGTTCTTTTGGAGTTTCAAACAAATTCCAATGCATCCCTGGAAGTAGTATTTTGATAAATCTGGAAACTCCTGGCAAATCTGCATTTCTTTTTTTTAAAAAAATATTTATTTTTTTAATTTTATGTGTATGCGTGTATTGCCTGCATATAGGTAAGTGCACCTGTGTCTCGTGCAATGCCCGTGGAGGACAGAAGAGGCTGTTGGATCCCCTGGAACTGGAGTTATGGACAGTTGTTAGCTGCCATGTGGGTGCTGGGATTCAAACCCAGGTCTTCTGTAAGAACAGCCAGTGTTCTTAACCGCTGAGTCATTCCTCCAGCTCCCGAATCTGCATGTCTAAGGTGTTATTTGATTTGATTCACAGTTCAGCTCTATGAAAAAAGCCCTGTTTCCAAGGCATTACAGGAAAGTATAGTGATCTGCTTGTAACATCACAGTTGCTTAATTTCAGTTGTGTAATTTGAATGGGGCAAAAGGGGCTGGCTTGAAATTTGAAAGGAAGACACGGATAACCAGATGACCATATGAGACTTTGAAAGGTTTAGACATATTCTTGGGTATCTAGAAGTATGCACCCATGTGCACAGCTCTGAGGAACCCAAGGAAAGAAATGTGACAGAAAAAGATGTTAGTTACTCAACTCTGGCTGTCTTTGAAATCAGGAAATGAAAGCTAAGGCTGATTTATAAAATATCTGAAGCTTGAGTTACATCTTCACACAAAACATTTTCTTGGAAAAAAATATGGAAGACTTAAAAGTTTAAGACATTTAAGGAAATATAACTGAATGATTACTAAATTTTACTGACTCAGAGGTGATCCCAGGAAGATGGGCTTAAAAATAAAAACAAGAATAACAACAAAAACAAAAAGCAGCCAACAGAAAATGGCCCTGCAGATGACTAGTTGTTGGATTTCATATACAAGATATACAAAGCAGCAGTTATAAATATATGAAAACAGGTGAGGAAACTATGTTTAAAAAAATGAAGGACTCGTACACTCTCTTCAGATGCTTAGAGCCCCAGACCAAGGGTCAGCAAATGTGTTATGTAAAAGTCAGAGGGAAAATACTTTGTGTGAACCATACACTCTTTATTCAATTTTGCCACGGTGGTGTTAAAGCAGTCACCAACAAAACATAACTGAATAGCATGGCTGTGTCTCAAAACATTATTTACTGAAACAGGTTATGGGTTGACAATGTCCATTTTAGAAGATGGTGGAGCCATTGGGGAACCTAGGACCTCATATATAACGTTGTGGAGCGAAACCTACTGAGCTCACCTAGTCAGCTTTCATTCAGTTATACCCTGAGAAATAAACTCTTGTGATGCTGAGATCTTAGATTTGGGGGTCTTTTATTTATTGATTTATAACATTTCCATCTATTAAGGATGTTGACAGGGTGGGACTTTTTTAAAATGCCTCATAGAGCTGAGATGACTCAGTGGATAAAAGTGCTTGTACACAAACTGAAAGACCTAAGTTCAGATTTCTAGAGTCCATATAAAGCTGGAGAGAGTGGTACATGTCTGCAATTCCAGCATTCTGAAGCAAGATGGGAGAGAAAGGTGAATTCCTTAAAGCACACATTGCGGGTAACCTTGTGTCCACAGGGAACAAGAGTGACACTGTGGTTAAAGGTCAAAATTATGGAGAAACACCCAAGGTTGTCCACATGTGTAGTACCACAGCATGTATGTGTATGAATGCACACACGCGTATACACACACACACACACACACACAGACACAAACATACACAGAGGCTTCACAGAGTTGATGACACTCATGCTTCACCTTGACTAGCAAGCATGGCTTTTATTCTCTCCTTGTTTAAATCCTATCCTTTTGGGGGAACTTAATGGAGTCTCTGGTTGCTGTACTATATGTAGAGAGAGGTTTCAGGCCATCTTGCCAAGAGTACAAGTTTGTTTGGTTAATTTATTGGTGTGTGGGAAATAAGCCCAAGATCTCACACTGGTTAGAGCAGCACTCTACCACAAGTGACATTCCCAGGTATCAGAGTACAGTTTTGGGGGCCACATAGTCCTAGGTTCAAATGTGGATCTGTCGATAAGGGAAGCTAAAAAACAAACGAGTAAACACAAACGAGCCAAAATGTACTATGTTTGGAAACTTATTGTTTCATTAGCAGTTTTTCTACATGATGGATAATATAAGAACTGACTTCTAGGCAAAGATCAAAGCCAGGGGAGTCCTAAAAGTGAGTAAAACCTAAGGGAATGTCTAAAAAGCCTTTGGTAAGACATGAGAAAGATTTAAGTTAGTGCTTCTTAGACCCTTTCTCTAAGAATATGCTGACAATGCTTTCTGTTAAACAACAGAGTTTCTAAAAATCTTAAGAGAAATTTGTCTAGGATCCCCAAGTAAAAAAAGACTTGAGAGTATGGTTTTGGATAAATGGAAGGCATTTGTAAATTGATTTATAAGAAATCCACTTTTTTTTTTAAAAAAGAAACTATTATGGATTTGAATGAAAGAAACAGAAAAAAACACCAGAGGAAAAGAAAATAAAAGACCCAATTAATGGTAGACAAAAGGTATAATCAGACACATAATCAAAGCAGATATAAACCACAAATAAATACAAAAATACATTCAGCATTATTTAGCATTATGTAACTGCAATTTAAAACAACATTCATGTATATTTTTATTGAGTTTTTGTGCATTTCATATAACAGACCTTACTCAAATTTAGAATTCCTCCCCTACCTGCAGTCCCATAGCCACCTCAGCAGATTTCATGCGTTCTGATAACACAGTTTTAACATACAATTCCAGTCACATATCCAAATTAGTTAAAAACTGCATCCGTGCAGCAGGTGGTAATTAACAGAGACCTACAGCTGCTCAATGTGCAGAGAATAAGACACTGCATAGTGTTCAATCCTAAATGGTACACCTATATCACATCATCTCTTCCAAAAGCTCAGGAATCATTGTGGAAGAGGGGATAAAAAGATTGTAAGAGCCAGATATCTTAGATGAATACAAGGAAACCATAAAGCTCAGGGAACATCTTAGAAAAGAGGATGGGGATTTGTAAGAGCCCTGGTTAGGGAGAAGTGGAGCAAAACAGTATCTGTGGACATACTAAGACCACTTCCCTCATGAAGTTACAGTAGTTGTGGCTTCCTATACGGGATCAAGTTAGTCAATATTCAGTTCCAAGAGGGTGGGGGTTCTCACAAGGCCCCACACCCAGCTGAGGATTTATCAATTACTGATAGCTGCTAGGAAAGGTAGGTTGATCATATTCTAGTGGATGACCCCCACACCCATGCATGTATAGGCAACACAAATTGGACTCTGTATTATTGTAAAAAAAGGAAGACATGGGGCTGTAGACATGGCTCAGTGGTTAAGGGCACAGGCTGGTCTTGTAGAGGATCTGGGTTTGGTTCCCAGCATCCATATGGTGGTTAACAACCATCTGTAGTGTCCATAACTCCAGTTCCAGAGGGTCTGATACCCTCTTCTGGCCTCCATGGGCATTGCATGATATGGGTGCATTTACATACATGCAGGCAATACACTCATACACATAAAATGAAAATAATAAATAAAATATATAAAAACAGAAGAACACGAAATTGGAAGGTAGATTAGGAAGGATTTTTGGAGGAGTAAGGGGGAGGAGTGGAAGGTGAATATGATAAAAATACATTCTGTACATATTTGAAATGATCATATAATTGAAATACATTAAAAATTAAAAAATAGAGCAAAATTTTTCTTGATTAAAACCCCCTTTGTTTGCTTATTCATTTATTTATTTATTTTTATTTTGAGACAGGGTCACACTATGTAGCCCTGGTTGGTTGGGACCTCACTATGTAGACCAGGCTGGCCTCAAACTCACAGAGGTTTCACCTGCCTCTGCCTCTGAATGCTGAAATTAAAGGCATGTACTATCATATCTGGCTTAATTGTTTTCTGATTTGCTTATTTTTTTTATGTATAGGAGTGTTTTTCCCACTTTTATGTGAGTGTGCAACATTCATGTAATGCCTATGGAGGCCAGTCGAGGGTGTCAGATGCTCTGGAACTTCAGTTATAGATGGTTGTTAGCCATCATGTAAGTACTGGGAACTGAACCTGGGTCCTTTGTAAGAGCAGTCAATGATCTTAACCAGTGAGTCATCTCTCTAGCCCCTCCTGTGGATATTAAAAAAAATAAGGATTGAGGGCCAGGTGTGATGATGTACACATTTAATCCCAGCACTTGGGAGACATAAGCCAAACTCTGTGAGTCTGAGGCCAGCCTGGTCTACATAGAGAGTTTCAGACAAGCCAGGGCTACATAGTGAGACCCTATCTACAAAAGGGGGGGGGATTGAATCTGGCGACCAGTACATGTCAAAATGCTGCAATACTGAGCCATATCTCTAGATCATTTTTATATTTTAATTCCTAACCACAGTTACCCAGACAATGCTTAAAATTGTGATCCTCTTGCCCCAAACTCCCAAATAGCTGGGATTACAGGCCCCACCTCCACTGGCTTTTATTTGCAGTTCTAGGATTAGGTAATACATCATTCTATCAAGTAGAGTGAGTATTCCTAGAATTCTATACTTCTAATTAAAGAATATAAAAAAGTAACACAAATATGCAAATTAATCAAATATATTGACATATGCTTTGTTAATCTGTAGAAAATATTTGTCTATCTAAACACATTAAGACATAAGCTCGACTTCTACTTAACATTTTCTAGTCTTATGATTCATTTTTAATGCAATTTAAAATAAAATAAGGGCTCTTTAACAGTAATTTCTGGTCTGGGACTACTTAGCCTAAGCTACATCAAAAGAGCCTGATTTTCCTACATTTAGTTTCAAATTTTGTCTAGTAATATTTCTTGAGTATATGCATCAAAAAGTAAAAGATTAATGCTATTCTCATCACTTGATCAGAGTTTTATAAAGCCTGTTTATAAACCCAGGTTTTAGCATAACTTATTAAACTGTTGAACATTTTAATTGATACGTAGTTAAAATCTGGACAGAACTGGTACTTATGCATAAGCTCAATAACTTCTGGGAGAATTTGTTCTTTGTAACACATTTTTAATATACTCACAGCAAAACATTCCTCAAATCCTTCCTCTACTCAGATTTAGATTTATCTATTTAGACTCTGAGATACAGATTTTTAAAGTATTATAGTATAAAATTTACTGTTTGTTAAAATGTTAAAATTAAGCAATTCATTTTTCTTATTGTTTTGGCAAGCTGAGTATAAGGATTGAAGAAATAACTCCTATTATTTAGAAATCAAATTGTACCCATTTTCTTTCCCCTTCCCTTCCCTTTCCTTTACTACACAAGTGATCTATGCCTGAGCTATGTCCCCAGCCTCTGGATCCTGTTTTAAAAGACATTTTCTTCATTAATTTTTATACTGTACTATTGATATAGGTATAAATAATATTAAAATGATTCAAAATTCATCACCATTTCTAATATTAAAAAAAAATCTTGCTGTGGGCCAGTGAGATGCTTCAGGGGGCAAAGGTGAATACTGCCAAACCTGATGACTTGAGTTCAATCCCCAGAACCCATGTGGTAAAAGGAGAGAACTGACTCCCACAATTTGTACTCTGATCTCCAGACGAAAACTGTGGCATGTGAACACCTACACACACACACACACACACACACACACACACACACACGCAAATAAATGTAATAATTTTTCTATCTTCAGTTAAGATAAAACATTAATTCAAAAATTAATTTCCAAGTAAACTGGAATACTAATAGGTATTTTTGAACATATCTATATTAAAGCTTCTAAACTAGGTAAGGAAAACCACAAATCCTCAGCATTCCAACCTATCTGGAGAGATGCTAAACTTATTTTGAATCAGTATTTTTTCTTGACAACCGAGAAGAACCAGCTACCAGAGGCATGTGAGGGTTTTTAGGGAAAAATTCTACTCACAACACTAGATCTAACATGGACTAAATCTGGAATTAAATAGAACAGGACAAATTTTGTATAAGCTAGAATATGGAAGATTTGAGAGAGTAGTTATCAAGACTGGCTACACACAAAATGTATGAGAGAGAAAGTTAGGGCAAGAAAAATGCTTCCAGGCCAACATGAAGATTCTGTGGCTAGAGCAGAGATAATAGACATATGGTAAAATTACACGATTTCACTGTGGTTTATCAAAGCTTACTCTACCACTATTGTACTATAACTGAATTATCATATTATTTTAAGTCTTCTCTCTACATTGGTAAAAGGCTCTAGACTTCAAGTAAGATAATATAACAAGTAAAGTCAATGTTGATTACTTTCCTTCGAATCTTTAACTAAAATATAAATAGTTAAATTTGGTACATTTTATAAATCATGGAGCTCCTGGATTCTGAAATTGAAATTTCATTTGAATTCTGTTTTCATTTTCTTGAAAGACATTTAAAAAATAAAATCAGGCTCTTAGGTACTCTTTGTTTGGAGTACTGAACATATCTAATACTTTTTATAGCTTTAAACTTCCAGAAAAATGATTCTGTGTATTTTAAAACTCTTTTTATTTATGATTATTGTTATTATTAATAGTGCCTATGTGTATGTCTGTATATGTCTGTGTATGTGTGTGTATGTATGGAGGTCAGAGGACAACTTTGTGGAGTCATTTCTCTCTTCCATCTTTACTTGAGTTTGGGGATCAAACTCAGGTTGTCAGGCTACCTTTACCCACTGAACCATACCCCTCTCAATATTTTGTTAGTAAATGTCTATGCCAGTGTTTCACCTGGGGAAAAATATGTAAATAACCCTGAGCTATTAGGTATTAAATAAAAGATATTCAGTCTGGTTTAAAATTTTTATCTCTCTGCAGATATAAGAAAACAATTTTAAAGCCTTGTTGATTCTCAAATACAGGGTGAACTGTCAAAAGTCAAGTTGTATAAATGGAAGGTATGCTTACTAAAAAACAGCAAATACAGTAGAAAGATCAAATTATAGTATTTCTTGGAGTATTAGTTCCTAGGAACCTTAAAGACCTTAGTTTTTACTTCTGTGCATAATATGACTTATAGTATATAATTCTTCAGATTCAGGCTTTTATAAGAAGAAATATAGATATAAATATGGAAGTTATTATACGTTCCTTCTGAAAGAATAATCATTTTAAACACAAAGCTTTTCTTCAAAATTACTTGATTGCTATAGAAATTACCTCTGTGCTAACATCACATTGAGTTGCAGCTGCCCCACACTTGAGCCTGAGTTTTGCCACCACTTGTTCAGAGTCCTTAACATCATTAAAACGAAAAGCTGTTTTTCCTTTGATGCTAATGATGACAGATTTGCTGGAGTCATCAGTTTTATCTACAGCTAAGACCTGGGGGGGGCATGAAAAGATAAGTGAGTTGCATTTTTCTTTATTGCTGATACATCCAGGTAATAAGTTTGCTCTTTCATGACTGAAAGTTTGGGTCTATGGTCAACTTAATAAGAAACAGACATTGAGGAGAAGTTGCACTAATGACAGAAATCACCTCAGTTCATATTATTGCACTTTTCAAAGCAAAGGATTAACTAACATGTAGCCTTTCAAACAGACAATCTAAATAAAATATTCAGTGCTGAATACTAAATTTTTACTCACATAAAAGCTATCAATTCTATTCTTTCTGATCAAATAGGTCAAATGTGATAGCCTAAATTTTGGTACTCATATCTTAAATGTCTGAATGATCAAGCTTAATATGTATCATCCTAAACCTTTATCTGGTTTTAAAAATTTTCCCCACTTTTACTGTCAGTAAGAATTGTAAGGCTTGGGGCTGGAGAGATGGTTCAGCATTTAAGAGCACTGGCTGTTCTTACAGAGGACCCAGGTTTGGTTTCCGGCATCCGCGTGATGGCTAACAACCATCTGTACCTTCAGTTCCAGGGGATCTAATGTCCTCTTCTGGCCTCCGTGGGCACTGCATTATATAGATGCACTTACATACATGCAGAAAAAACATTCATACACATAAATAAATAAATAAATAAATAAATAAATAAATAAATAGTTTTTAAAAGAATTGCAAGGCTTTGCTAAAAAGAACTGAAAATAGCTCCTAAGCTAATACTTTCAATCTAAACAATAATTTCATTTTTAAAATGATTACTTTAAATTACTTAAAGAATGGGGCTGGAGAGATGGCTAAGTGGTTAAGAGAGTACTGGTTGCTCTTGCAGAAGACCTAGGTTCAATTTCCAGCACCCACATGGCAGCTAACCACTGTTCTAAGTCCAGTTCCAGGGAATCTGACACCCTCTTCTGACCTCCGCAGGTATTGTATGATATGAGTGCCCTTATATAAATGCAATCAATCCACTTATACACAAAAATAAAAATAATAAATATTTTTAAAAAATTACTTAAAGAATGCTAATTGAGCTTTTTACTAGTTCACAGCATTAAAGGATATTGTACAAATTAAAAACTTACATGTAACCACATTTACATTACCTCTCGTAATGGAATGATTACACTACAGAGATTACAATCCTGGCTAGCAAAGCAGATATAGTTTTCTGAAATGCACATTTTTCCATGAGTACTGAAGTGGCCGAATGGTACCCATAAGAAACATTCATGTACTTCTTTCAAAGTCTCTTCTTTGGGTAGCCTAAAAAAGGCATTAAATTGCTCACTGTGGGCCCGATATTCCAAACCTCTGTAGGAAAGATAAACAAGGGAGTGGGGGTGAAATGATAAATTCTAAATTATGCACATACCTAGACTGATTAATCTACAAAACTGTCAAGCAGAAACATTAAACATTACATGGCTTGTTCTTCAATGAATTCTGAAATGAACAAAAAAATAAGGTTGATTGCCAACAATTTCATTTTGCTGTTTTTTCCAATTTCATTTTATTCATAGATTAAAATGGACAAGAGTTAGAGATGACATATGTCTTTAAATCATCTGCTGGGATTATGCTTTGAACACTATTATTATAATGCTTTCAGATTATGTTACTATGGCTGAATTCATTCTTGAAGAACAATAATTTACATACTTGGTTGTTAGAATATCAAGAGGATTATGCAAGCCAAACAAAATTAAGCAATGAAAATTTGTGGCATTAACGTTTACAGACAAAGAAGAGGCTGTAGAACAGAATATTGAAAAAGAAGCCAGACAAACTATCAATGAATGCTTTAAAACATTCAAAACAAGAACAGAACAAAACACTGCATGCATGGTGTTGGGCACAGGATAGGAGTTGATAAATTGAGATGTCTTGCTAACTAATACATAAATATATAAATACAAAGCTGCTACTTTAAATAGCATGATTTTTCCAGAGGCACCAAACACCTTGTGCTCAGCAGTAATGCCATCTGGGGTAGTAAGTAAATTATGCAAGTTCTAACTCAAAGCCAACAAAATTAAAACTAAATTCATCCTTCCTGTATCTACTGTTGGAATATGTGGTTCTTTATCATGTCTAGCAAAATAATCCTGATAAATATAACCAAAAACCATGCTAAGTTTTACCTCATTTAAGTTGTCATTCGGTGGGCTATTTCACTATTATTTAAAAGGATGATCAATCACAGTCCATTTGTGTGGATGGAAAAAGATCTTTCCATGTGATATGTTATTATAAAAGGAAAAGAAGTTGTGTTCAGGCCCACTTTCTAGCCAATACATTCAAATTCGTATATTAAAAAGCCTAAATGGACATACACTAAATGCCTGCAATTGTGTTTCTAGATTGTTCACATTATAAAGCACATATCTGTAAAATAGGGAGGATGAAAAGATTATAAGAGCCAGGGGAGGGTGCACATGATCATAAGGAAACAAAATCTTACAGGCTCCTGGGACCTTGTTAATATGAACTTACAGCAATGGTGTCAGCATGGCCAAGACCCATGCAAACTCATTTAGACAAAATTCCAGCATAGAACTGGGAAAATGGGCAGCAGAAGTCAAACTTAGCTGAAGAACTATTGGCAGCTGATTACTGCTGGGTGAGGGAGAATTGATCTGCTTTAGGGAAGAACCTCTACGTAGGCTGACCAGACCCCAGTGGATGAACTTACACTGAGGGCCATCTGCGTATACAAACTTAACTCAATAGGCTTTAACATATATGAGAGAATGCATGAAATCCGGTGTGGGGAAGCTATAGGGGGTTGTGGATGGGGCAGAGGGTATAAAGATGGTTATGATGTTTTGTATGAAATGCACAAAAATTCAATAAAATATACATTAAAACCTCATTAATTAATTGAACTCAAATAAAAAAGAGGCAATAAAGATAATCTATTTTATATAAAAGGTTGTCTGAAGACTGTCTCAGGAAGTTGCTTGTTCTTACCTTACTAGAAAAACGTATTTAGATGCGTGTGATGTTCAATATGCTCCTTCAAACATATATAGAGACAAAATTTACTACATCTCATTTAAATGAAGACTTGGTAATGGATAACTCATTTTTTAGATGATCTTTTAGAGCATAGTTTATGGGAAATAAAATGACTTTTAAGAAAATTGTTTCTAGTGGCCAACCAAGGAAAAAGAACTACAAAGCAAACACCCAACAACAGTGTAACATGAACTGAATTTTTTAAGATTTATTGATTGTTTTTATTTATGCTTATGTGTGTGTGTGCCGGCATGAGTTTAAGTGCAGGTACCTGCAGAGGCGAGAGGGCATTGGATACTCTAAAACTGGAATTACAGGGGATTGTGAGCCATGAGATGTGGGTGCTGGGAACCAAACCTGAGTCCTCTTCAAGAGCAGTAAACACTGTTAATAGCTTAGTCATCTCTCCACCCCTGAATACTTAATTGGATAGTTCTATTTATTAATCACATAGAGACCTAAGTTTGGTAGTAAAGTGCAAAAAATTCACACCATTAATCTAATTTCCAAAAAGCAGGTTCATAAAGAATCCTATACATCTGAATTTTAGAAATAATTTAGAAATGGTAAAAGAATCAACTGCACCCAATCAGGGCTATGTAGTAATACAAAAAACCTTCAGATAACTTGTTCTGGTCTACACAGAGGACTTTGAGGCACCTCTTACATTTTCCCCAGTTTATATCCTCATCTTCCTTGCCAAAACTGCTTTCACTTGCTATTTCTGGATACTTTCCTTTCTTCCTCCCCTTTGGCAAGTTCTTTTCAGTCAACTGCTTGAGTGTGAATGAAAGGGCTCTGTTCGGTTTCAATAAACTGAATATAGTGGCAAAGAGCAATCAGTTGGGCATTCTTTCTTTTCCTTCTTGAAGACAAGGTCTTGCTATGTAGTCCAGGCCAGCCTGAAACTAATGATCCTCCTGCCTCAGCTTCCCAACTGCTGGGATTATACACATGTATTCCCATGCCCAGTTAGTCAGACACTTCTGCTGTAGGCACTAATAATGATTTGTAGTATGCAGTACTTTTATTTTTAACAATCATATTTCATTCATTCCTCCTAAGGGCCCACAGAGGTAGAAATGAGAGACAGATAAGGAAATTGAGGTCCTGAGAAATTATGACCTGCCAAAAGATCTCTAATCTCAAACTAAAGCCTATGCTCCACTGACTCTATCAATTTACCTTTTCATAGAAAAGTTATGTTATCACCAGATTGGTTTAAAATTAGGCAGTATGTTTAACAACTCCAGACTTGAAATCATCTAGACTACAAATAGAGAAATTTAGAGTTAGATAGCCACACACATAAAATTCTCTACATTTCTAAAAGTACTCTTAGACAAATCTTACCTAAATTAAAAAAAATAATTTTCAAACTGAATGTCTATTATTTCTTAGCATTAAATTTCACTGAGAAAAAGCAACAACTTTTGAAATGTATGCGACTAAACTCACAAAAACACACATCAATGATCAATCGCAAAAAAATCTAACATATAATATAGAACAATTAGCTTCTAAGGCTAATCAATGCTATCATTCTTACAGTCAAGCAATACTTGAAGAAGTAAATATTGGGGCTGGTGAGATGGTTCGAAAGGTAAAGGTCTTTGAAATCAGGCCTGATGACCTGAGTTCAGCCCCCAGAACTCACACAATGGAAGGAGAGAACCAACAATTTCACGCCGTCCTGTGACCTGCACACCCATGTCTTGGCATATTTGACCCCCTCCATAAAATAATACATGTTAAAAAGTAAACATTAATCTTTAAATACCTTTTGGTAATCTGTAGAGGATCATCAAGCACTGGGTCATTATCAAATGTTTCCTTATCAAAAAGTCTCTTTATGGCATAGTTTGCCAGCTGTTCCATAAGAAGGTATGTTTCATTAATGTGCAAAAACATTGAAAAATAGTGATTCTCCCCTTGGGAACACACATGAATACTCTCTGTCAGTATAACATTTGAAGTCTTTTCAAGTTTGGAGATTGCATCCCAGGAGATAACGAGTTTTACTGCAAATAAGAATTACAAGTAAGTGAGATTAAATCCTCAGTATTGATTCATGTTCATAAATCAGCTCTTTTGAAATAATGACCACTTGCAAACTCCTATGAAGAGCTACAATACTTTAGAGATCACAGATAGTTAAATAATTTGAAGTGTCACCATGAATATATAATAAACAGGGATTCTAGAAACTGATAGATGTTTTTGTTTTGTTTTGCTTTGTTTTTAAAGGTACTGGAAATTGAACTTAAGGTCTCTGCACACTAGAGAAGCACTCTACCATTGATCTACATCCCCAATACTTCGAACAAATATTTTAAATCATTTTAAAAAGATTTTGATTTAATGTTGAAATGTTTATTTTATATATAGTTATCAATGACACAACCACTGAGGTTAAAGCCACACATATGCTATGAATAGTGCCACTTCATTCTTTGTGGCTACAAAATGAGATGCAAGTCACTGGGCACAATGGCTGTTAGTTTATGTTGCACACTTAAGAAAAGGATTAAAACACAGTATAAAGTAGGTACTTTCTAACAAGGCTAAAATGCTTCTATACTAGGCCATCATCACTTACTATTCACTTATTATCCCCAATGTGGAAGATTTTCTACACACATTTCTAACTGTATCCTATGTTGAGCAGATTCTAAAAAGGATTCTTTCTATACTTAAAACCTTTTGGATGTAGACATACAACTTAATTATCTTTAATATCAATCCCATTACTATCTATACAACTTATCACCAGCACCCCCCACACACTGAGTTGATAAGTCGTCAGCAAATTCAAAACCACGGTGAAGCAATAAAAAACACTTACTTTCTGATCCCAGCAAGAAAGAATAGAAACTAAGAAAGTTGGTACTAAGATAGAGCCAACCCTGGCAAGGAACCCGTCCTTTCCAATAACTGCACGAATAATAGGTTACTAATTTTTCCTGCTCTGGTAAACCAAAAGATTTTTCAAATTTCAAAAGGGCTTCTCGAAATTTCTCAGGATCATCTTCTTTAGCAAAAGAATGTTTTCCTTCTTCAGCAATTAGTCCCTAGAGGAGAAAAAATATTTTCTAAAAATTCATCATTACCTACCCACAAAAATATTTTTTCTATGCTTAATTTTAGGTAGTGGTTCAAATAGAACTATACAGATCTATACATTATATGTATATATGTGCATTTATATATTTATCTTAAGATATAGGAGAGAATTTTTTCCTCAGTTTTGTACGAGTTTTTTTTTTTTCTAATGTCTGAAAAGGAGATGCCACAAAAGTAAAGAGCAAATGATTTTCTTTGGGATGAACAAATGTTTATTCCTACTTCAACTCAAGAGATAGTGAAATGAAAATATCACTAGGAATACTCACAAGGGAACCAAAACCAAACCATTGTAAATTTTTCTTAAGTGCCAATTCTGGCATTTATTTGTGCTTCTACCAGGCCTGAAAGTTGCCAGAAAAAGATGACCTCCCATGTAATCCCTAATAAGAGGGTTGAAGACCTTAGTATGCCATTTTACTGAATATATCCATACAACTTTCTCTTTTTCAGAGTCATGATAATTTTATATGGAGGACTTAGAACGCACATCACCTGTCTAAGCAATGAGGAAATTGAAGAGGGAATTGATTATTGTCATCTTTTCTTATTTTTTTTTTTTTAAAAACATATAAAGTACTGGGTTTCATTAGGACATGTCAATACAGATATATCACAGTACTTTGCTCACATTCACCCATATTCCCCTCTCTTGCCACCCTCCACTCCCAATTTCTATATCATATTTATGTACATAATCCAGATTTTAATATATATTTAAATCTTCACATGAAAGAAAACATGTAATATTTATCTTTCTTTTTTTCACTTTAAAAATCTTTATTCTCATTATTCCACCAAAGTTGACCCCATGTTGGCAAATGCTTTGGTCTTTGATTTCTTATTTCTATTATTTTATGTGTGTGAGTGTATTGCCTCCATGTATGTGAGTGCACCTGTGCTGTGCAATGCCATGGCGTATATAACCTGCTTCAAGTTATTTCTGGAAAAAATGTGTTAAAAATTGCCTCTCTTTGGAATAAAAAATAAAATAAAAGTCTTTATTCTCTTCCTGATTGTAAAAATACTACATGTTCACTATAAAAGTTTTACATTATAGAAAATCAAAATCCAATAAATTCTGCTAGTACCTTACCCTCAGAGATGACTGTTACCCTCTTGGTAAAAAGTATTCCTCTGGGGCTGGAGAGATGGCTCAGCGGTTAAGAGCACTGACTGCTCTTGCAGAGGACCCAGGTTCGATTCCCAGCACCCACATGTCGGCTACAAACTGTCCTTAACTGCAGTTCCAGGGGACTCCAAAGCCCACTTCTGACGTCTGTGGCATTGCATGACACAGGTGCACTCACATACATGCAGGCAATACACTCATACGCATAAAATAAAAATAATAAAATATTTTGAAAAAAGTATTCTAGACCAAAGCATAAATGTAGATGAAATGTATTCCTTTTTATCCTTTATAAGCCTTTCTTATTTCCATTAGTCTTCTTTCCTCCAAATATCCCTTCCTTCCCTCTGAGCATGAGAGAGAGAGAGAGAGAGAGAGAGAGAGAGAGAGAGAGAGAGAGAGAGAGAGAGAGTAGTCACATTTTTGCTTCGAGAGAGAGAGAGATACCTAGATTCTGCATATGAGAGAAAACATAGGATACTTGTATTTGTGAATCTGGCTTATTTTGCTTAATTCAGTGATCTTTAGTGATCCATTTTCTGCAGATGACACATTTTTTCCCTTCTTTATGGAAGAATGAAACATCACTATGAATATATACCACATCTTCATGCACTCATCTGTAATACTTACTCTTATCTTGCCTTGTACAAAATTAGTAATATCTTCGTTTGAATCAAACACAGACAAAGTCTTCATGATATTTTGTTCCAACCAGTCCCAATGTTTGGTTATTTCTTCTCTGTTGGCTCCTGATTAATAATATAGAGAATATAGGAAAACTCAATGAAGCTTTCTTGATAGTTCCTAGTTTAAAAAGAAAATTATTTGTTCACTTTTACAAATGATGGTTATAGGGGCTGTAGAGCTGGCTCAGCACTTAAGAGCACTGGCTGCTCTACCAGAGGACCCAGGTTCGGTTCTCAGCACCCACATGGTGGCTAAAAATAGTCTATAATTCCAGTTCCAGGGGCTGTGAGGCCCTCTTTTGACTTCCATGAACATTTCATGACACAGGTGTGCTTACATGCTCGTAGGCAATACACTCATACATGTAAAATAAAAATAAATAAAATATTTAAAATTAAATGGTGGTTATAAAGAAGTGATCTTACACTTATTTTTCATCTACATATAATCATAAACACTATCATTTTAATTAGAAAAATGTCTCATGAAATGGGGCAAAGGTAATTACTACTCAAAAGAGAATGTATAAAATTGTGAAAATAAGATAACAGCAACTGGTGCCTAGTAAATAACCATTATCTTCTTTTTAAATATTTCATGGTTACAATGCCTTTTGTGAAAAAGTAGGCATATGAATAAAAAAAAAGATTCAATTTGTCAAGCTTCTACTTCTTCAAATTTTGAACTCACCATAAACTCCAGATTCTTCTCATCTGAGTTACTAGAAATGAAAAATCACATTTAATAGGAAAAGCCCCATACCCCCGGCAGTTTGGTATTCAGTTACTAAATTGGAAAAATGGAAGCATGCAGCAATTGCACTGACTAAAATGTGCTATGAGTCAGCACTACTAGACCACATGCTTCAGGTCTCTCACATCCATTGATTTTCTAATTCCCAACAATCTGTTGTAGTTCTTAAACAGAGGCTTTACTAGTCTATCAAAGAAACATTGCATTTAACTTGCTTCCAAGTCTCAAAACAACTTGGAAGTTAAAGTAAATCTGAATATTCAGTTTCTTAGTTTATTAATGTATCAAGCACTTAGAACAATGCTTACCATACAGTGACACTCAGTAGTAGTTGACACTTATACAAGAGCTTACATTTTTAAACAAGTTTAAAATCTTCATTAACAAGAATGTTTTTGTTAAAGTGCTTTCCTTTCAATAGTTTTTAATTCCTCAATTTGGAATTCAAGAGTCAATTAGTTCAATGACAATTATCTTCCGATCTTGATTTTATTTGACTACATGTGTTTTTTAAATTATACTTACCACATGCTATTGACAAGTAAACTTGAGAATCTGGTGTCTGGTGTAGGATGCGAAATGGAGCTACTTTGGCTGTAGAGTCTAAGACAGAATCAAGAGTCCCAACAAGAAGACCTGTTGTAATAGAAAAAATTGTTTTAAAATAAGGTCTTTACCAATGGAACAAAATTGAAGACCAAAATATGAGTAATTGCAATTTTAGCCACCTGATATTTGACAAAGGGGCTAAGAACATTAACTGGAGGAAAGACAGCATGTTCAGCAAATGGTGCTGGCAAAACTGGATCTCCACTTGTAGAAGAATGAAACTAAAACCCTATCTTTCACCCTGCACAAAAGTCAATTTCAAATGGCTCAAAGACCTCAATGTAAAGCCTGAAACTCTGAAACTCTTAGAAGAAAACATTGGGAAAAACCTGCAAGATATAGGTGTAGGAAAGGACTTTCTAAACCAGACATCAATAGCCCAGGAAACAAGGGCAAGAATTAACAAGTGGGACCTCATTAAACTAAAAAGCTTCTGTACATCAAAGGAGAAAACCAAGGAAACAAACAGAAAACCAAAAAAATGGGAGAAAATCTTCACCAGTGACACATCTGATAGAGGTTTAATTAC